TTGTCCATCATGAGTTTTTGAGTATTGTTTGTGAGTGAGTTACGATATTTTATTTTTATTTACTTAAGTAGCAAATAAGACGTAGCTCTAGTATGAGCAGTAAACAATCTAATATATATTTTTATTTCAGCTTTTAAAAATGTCCTTTAAATGATTCTGATTATGTTTCTCCTTTTAGTGTGTTGTAATAATGGTAACAATTAGCTGATAAGGTTTTGTCAATTGGTTTTGTAGCAATTGTCTAGTATCAGCAGCAAACAATCTATCATAATATATTTTTATTTCAGCATTTAAAAATGTCCCTTAAACGATTCTGATTATTTTTGTCCTTTTAGTGTGATGTAAGAATGGTAGCAATTAGCTGATAAGGTTTTGTCAATTGGTTTTGTATCAATTGTCCAGTATCAGCAGGAAACAAGCTAATAAATATTTTTATTTCAGCATTTAAAAATGCCATTTAAAAGGTTCTGATTATTTATGTCCTTTTTAGTGGTCCTTATGATTAGTAGTCCTTATGATCAGAGGAGTGAGGACACTCATAAGTCAGGAATGGCCGAATGTTATCGACGCCTATGATCCTTATGATAGGCAGTCATTTTCACGCCGTGCCTGCACCCCGTGTCCGCTGATGTTTGCCAGTAGCGGAGTAGTAGGCTTTGGAAACAGTCGAATGTCAGAGTTTGTTGATTTCGGCCGAGGGAGAAGACATTGTTTGTCAAGCTAGTTAGAATTATATTTTAAAATATTAATTTATGTAAAATATATTAATCTCCCGATTACATATACAATTCATATTAAGTATAACAAAATTGATATCAAGTAGATATTTTGAAGAGATGAAATGCTGTTTTTATAACAAAGAAATTGGAAAATAACGAATACAATATTGATGCTTATACTAAACATTTTCAAGATCTATGGTAACCAAAATATACAGTGTGACACTTTGAACAGTAGCAATCAGGAAAACAATTTTCATCAATAATTTCAACAATTTCACACAAAACAAAATATTAATATTTTTTTTAGATTTGTGACTATATTATTATTGATATTAAAACATAAATAGAAAAATCACAGATTAGGTATACTACATGTATACAGATAAAAATCTTATCCCTAATTCGTGGTACGAAAATTGTTTTTTATGACGATGAGCAAACGAGTAAAATTTGCGCAAAAATAAACTCGCGTACAGTACGTCTGCCCATTTTGTAGCTACGGGGTATCCGTGAGAGGGGATTCTCTCGATGTTTTTCGTAAAAAATTAGACGACGCGTCCCATCAATAAAAATTCGACAAATTTGCAAGTGGCCAATAAAATGAGTGGGCGGAGTGATTTGCAGTCACGTACTCGTCAAGTCGACGTATAAAATATATTGCTGTTTATTTAAATGTTTTTTGTCCGCATTCCTTTCATAGACACAGATCCAGCAGACGTAGTGTAAAATAACAATAAACAGCGTAATAGAGAGATATCGGTAAACCGAATAGCGTGCATGGACGTTAATAACGCCAGGTGTATTTAAACTTAACCTAACTTTAAATTTAAAACTTTGAAATTGTTCTGTTTACTAGGTATTTTAAAACTAAAGGGCTGTAGTGCTTATTTCCAGTGCTTTATTGTTCAACGTCTACCAGTGGATTTAGGGCAACAAATTCTCTTAGAAGGGCTAAGTCGTCATCTGCTGTAAACCTAAGCCTCTTTATAGGTTCTTTAATATTGGAAGAGGTGGAATCCATATTTTGGGCCATATATACTTAATTAAAACTAATCCCAGCTACTTAAATATCAAATTACCTAGTAAAACTAAAGTAATAATTCAAAACAATTCAAACATAACCTAAAATAAAAGATCTCGCCGGCCGGCCCGGGTTGTCAAATACCTGCACATTTTTTTAAACGTTATTTAGAAATAGCGTTTGGTGTAATTGATCCGTAAATTACGTCAGGCGGTAACGTTATTAGCGGGCGTTGCGTTAAAAATTGACTCGCGCATATCGTAACATTGTTCTTCTCTGTCGTAACTGTCAAAATAAGGTACGCGTAAATACTGCATGACGCTATTCGGTTTTCCGATATCTCTCTAATAACTGGGACGGTCAGGCGCTGTGCACAATTTTAGAGGCCATAAGTGGGCGTGCTATATGCGCAAACTAGTAACCTAACTAGTGCCCGATTCCGAAAATTGGAACCACGAAAAACAATAAAGAAAAAACAAAGTTTATAATCTGCATAATCTGTGGAAAAATATACTCTAAACGCGCATAAAAAGTTCATCAAAATATCATAGAGGGAGGATATTCGTTATAAAAAAGTTAGATCATCTATACAATGTCAAAAATTTTTCAGAAGAATTTGTTAAACAATATATTAAATATATTTTTTATCAACAAGTAGAGGTATCTCTTTTTTTGTTTTGTTTATTATTATTCTTATTTTCTTATCTGGTAATTTCTATATATGAAAAGTTAATTATTTATAATACCATAAACCAATACCAAATATTCAAAGTGAACACTGATTATAATAATTAATAAAATTACAATATTATTGAAATAATTGCTAGTCTATATTATGTTAAGCTTCAAGGATAGGTTGTGTTAAAATTTTTAAAGCGTTTATAATTTCCTTTTTAAATTTACCTAATGTTATTTATATTTTATATAATTTTTTGAACGTTGGTATTCGCATAAATTATACGAATGCGATTAGAAATAGGCGAATGCGAAAATTCGTTACATCACTATAATAGTACTACCCGTACTACACAATTAAAAAAAACGGCGTCAAAGACGGCTGGGGAATGACAATCGATGATAATTTTGGCAAGGTCAAGCCCTAGATGTCATTACTTGGCCCATACTCTTCTTACTTCTTAATGACGCTTACTGCCAATTATTGGCCTCAAGAAGGATGTAATTTATTTTTATATTGAGAAAAAATTATTTTTAAATTGTGTATATAGGATGCTACAAATTCGAGGTACGAGCATTGGTATCTCGGAAACCGGAAGAGATACGAAGATGGTTAAATTGGGGCAAAGTTGCGCTTTAGGATGTCCACCAAGATACCATCAAAAATGTTTTAAAAATTTCAAGCAGAGTTTTTTGGAAAAAACGGATTTTTTTGAAAATTAATTTTATTTTTTCCTGGCGTTACTTTTTAGTAAATGAAAAAACTAATTGCAGATTCTCATGGCTACTTTATTAGGGCTATCTGAGAGTATTTTTAGATTTTCAAATTGGCAGATAATTTGTGAGATACAGAGGACAACTTAATTTTTTTAAATACGGACCTGCATTTTTTATTTCAGATTTTGAAAGAACTCGATCTCCTGAGTACAATGATATGCCACACTTAACATTTTTTTTTGTTTCGGACATTTGAACACAATTTAATTAAACTAATGTTAAGTCCGGCTCTGTTTATTTAAATATTTAATCTATTCATCGTTACAATATTGGTAAGCTTTCAAACTTAACAATGACGTGGAGTAAAACATTGAATACGGATAATCAAATGCAATTAAATAATAAAAATAATATAAAATTTTTGGGCATTACTTGACGTCATTTTTAAAAGTGAGAATACATTTCAACATTACAATAAAGAGTACAGAATGCATTCGGAAGTATAAGAAGAAGATATGTTCAAAGAGCTGTAAATAAGATTGAATGAAAAATACATTAATTTGTGCATTAGGGACGGAGGTAAACCTTTCGAACATGTAGAGCATTACTGGTTTTAGAAAAACTAGTTTGTAGAAGTTGATTTATTTATAATAACTACAAGTAATATTATGCATATTATTAGATCGTACACTGAGATTTCAAAATCACAATAAAAAAAGTTATAAATAATATTTTTAAATTGCTGACCTGGTATTATTTGTTTGAATCTTTCAATTGGCTCGATTCAATGTTAATTAGCGCTGATCCATATTGTTGCGACGAATCTATTCAGATTAAATAATTTAAAAAACCAGAGTGGGACTTGAAATTATTTTAAATAATAATTAAATAGTTTTGTTATTGTTAAGATACCTAAAACAAAAAAAAGTGTGGCATATCATTGTACTCACGAGATCGAGTTCTTTCAAAACTTCAAATAAAAAATGCAGGTCCGTATTTAAAAAAATTAAGTTGGCCTCTGTATCTCACACATTATCAGCTAATTTGAAAATCTATAAATACTATCAGATAGCCAAAAAACCCAGCAATCCTTGAAATTTTTAACACTTTTTTAATGGCATATTGGTGAACATCCTAAAGCGCAACTTTGCCCCAATTTAACCATCTTCGTATCTCCGGTTTCCGAGATACCAATGCTCGTACCTCGAATTTGTAGCACCCTGTATAGTTTAAAATTCGAGAAAAAATATTTTTTTGGAAACAGATTTGTGTCTTGAAACACTCTAACCTTTTTTAATCTTTCTATAATTATTAGTGTTAATTTTTGACAAGTTTTATGTCAATATTTAGTAGATGACGTCTAGAAGGTGACTCGCAGCACACGTCAAAATCATCAACGCAAAATCAATCCCCAACCGTTTTTGACGTCGTTTTTTTTTCGACCATACGGTAATAATGTAATTTGTTTTGAAAAGAACACTAATATAAAAAAATTATTTGTAGTTATAATATAAAAAATTCCATTCTTTATTATTTATTATTTATCCTGTTGTACTATGTATCCTCCTATTTATTATTTATTTATTTACATATTTGTTCATTTTTTTATAATTTTGCGTGATAATTTCAAATACGAAACCTAATAAGCATTTTGTAGTACTTGTCCAAAATGTAACACTAAAATTTATAATTATTAAATTTATAAAGATTGATATTTTTATGATATCTATAAAAAGATAGTAATTATATTTTATTTAAAACAGGTTTACATTGAAATATTATCCTAATAAATCAAGATAATAAAAAACTAAATATGTATTTACTCGTTACCCAAATTATATTAACAAGAAAACTAACGCACGTACCTTAGCATAACCGAGCCATAATTTTCTCCGGGGGCAGTAAGTCTGGAGATATCGGTGGACACTATCCTCTCCCCGTCCACCAGTCTACACTTAACCAAATCGTCCAACTGTCGGATCGTACTGTCACTTGCCATGGTGAATTACGACTGGCCAGGGAGAGAAATCACTAGACGATATTTATGAATGCAGACTGTTTATCGCTAGTGAGTGTTGTTGCTGATAGGATGCGTTCAATGAATAGGCGATTTTAATTTAAGTTCCTCGAGAGATAATTCGACGTCATGTCTAATTAGTGGTGGCATCAGAAAAGCCCTCGATTGCGGATATCTCGTGCGTTACGAGTAGAGAACTCCATTATTCAGTGGCGTAGGTAGAGAGGGATATAATAAAGCTGCCAATCTGTGTGTGTGCCCTCCTAAAGGACACTTTAGTTTGTTTTTTAGTTTAGTATTTTTATACTTTTTACTTAGAGGGGGGTCCATTAATTACGTGACACGTTTTTGAAAATTTTTTGACCCCCCTCTGCCCCTCTGCTGAGCTATCGTTAGATTTTTCTTGACTCCCGCTCCTAATATCACGTGAGATTTTCAAAATTTGCATTTGGAGTATAAATGCTTTGGATTTATTTTGGTTTGGAAACAACATTTAGTTTATTATTTTTATTACTCTGTTTTTTTTTCTCAGGTAAGATTTCGACAGACGATGACAGAAAAAAAGCAGATGACGTCCATACCAATCCATTTATTTCACTAAAAAAAGTTTCTAATATTTTTTAAGTTAACTATGGATGGGTTTATATATAATAGTTTTTAACCAGTTTTATTGGTTTATTTCAAAAATGACAAATCATATTTCAATATTATTGGTTTGACGGAAAGATGAACAACAAACGAACGTCGATGCGTATGAACTCGTCTTAGTTGTCAAACTCTTAACAATTAATAAGAAGTGTCTAGCCCCAGCAGGCAACTATTAAGCTTGATCAATCAGGTTGGTTAGCGTGGTTATTTGGAGGGTGTTAATTCATTTTTGTTTGGGTCAAAAACTCTAACGTGATTAGTCGGGCTTAATAGTTGCCTGCTGGGGCTAGACACAAGTAATTTGTAGGTTATAATTTTATGTCACATTATGTCAAATAAAAATAATAAATATTTTGCATTTTGCATTTTGGACTGTGTTATTACGTGTGCTCAGTGGCGTAGCTACCTAGGGGCTAGGCGGGGCAGTGCCCCGGGACCCTCAAGCTCAGGGGGCCCTCGAATCCTTACCAGAAATCTTGATCGAACTGAACTTTTGGAAATTTCTCCCATTTTCAAAATAAATATGACAGGTTGCAATCCCACTTTAATCATGACAACTCAGTTGAGAGAAATTCAAAAGTTATGCCTAGGGAATTCCCCTAAATTCTTTCTGTAGGTTAGATACACGTTTTATTGGTATGAGTGCAGTCTCTCATATATTCGATTTTATAACACCAACATTTTTATTACATGTTGATGAAGCAACTTATTCAAAACTTCAATTTACGAAAACTAAAACTAGGAAAAAATTGTAAATATAATTGTTATTTAGTGAGTTGGTAGGCCCGACCTTTATATAATAAACCCTTGAATCTTTTCTATTTCGTTTTATTAACCAAACCTACATGAAGTATTAATTGTAATTTATGTTGTTACTGTTTAATATTTTTATTACCTGGCCCTGCAGTGCACAAAAGAGAGCTTAAGTAGCTTAGCATTTTTAAAGTATTTGTATATTTCATATTTTTATTTGATAAAACCTAATCAGTTCACATAGCAGTGGGGCCACATTTTTTAATTTGCCCCAGGGCCCTTGTTTACCTAGCTACGCCACTGCGTGTGTTTTGTGTTTTTTAAAATTAAGTGGAGGAAAACTCGCGGGAAAATTAAGTGTTGACCCAAACCATAGTTTACAGTTAAGATTCGGAGCCCAGAGGGCGCCATAGACAGTTTACCAGAGATTATGGCCAGAGAGATGTATTAGCCACAAATCAAGTTTGTATACTATCTTGTATATGATACCAAAAACTGGAGTGTCTGTAAAATAGCAGCACACGTTAGGTAAATAATAATCATATTGAATAAATGTAACAATAAATGCAGGAAGTTGCTTGAGCTTGAAAGCCGGATATCTTTTTTATATCTTTTTTGGTATGTAGTGTTTTTTTTAAATAAACCCTTGCTTGTTTTGTATTAACACATACTGTAATTGACTTTAGTAAAATAATTCGATTAGATTTTCTCAATTTATACACTTTTTTCTCAATATTTTGATTGTGATCACTTGTCACCTAAATTTTAAATATGTTAATTTTCTGCTATGCGTCCCAATTGTACCAACTTAATTCTTTGTAAAATAAAATAAACTAATTTGAAAATAAAATCTAAATATGTATAAATAATATATAATAATATAAAATATATAAATAGACACATCTATCACTGTCGAGGATATTGTCGTTGGATAGACTATAGTAAATACTAGGGCTCAAGTTTTAAGGGCTTATGAATAAAAGTTAAGTAAATGCTTTTACTTAAATTTCTTGAAATAGACTTATACAATTTGTAAACAACCAACAAAGATAGTTCTATATAGCAATTGCTTCTCTTTATTCACCAGGCCCAATGTCTGCAGAAATCCATCCTTTTCGAGTTTTTCAAAGTTCCAATAGCTGAAATCAGGGCTACTTTCGTTTACTCGAAATCAGTTATCTAAGAAATATTTATTTATGCCTTTTTGAAAAAAAAACTCGTAATACAAAACTCGAGTCACAAAAATTTTTTCATTGTAGAAATTTTTCTAAACATAGACACGCAAAAGAAATTCTTGCGAAAGTGTACCATTTTCATTTATTGATAAAATATTGTATAATATAGCTAGATTTGAAAAGTACTCGACAATTGGAATTCATAAACAGACGCGTTTTAGCTTACAGCGTGTTTTGATTGCTTTGGTTAAGTTTGTTTTGGTTTGGTTTGTTGGTTCATTTTTGTTTATTTTCGTTTTTTTCTCGGTACGATATTGATGCCTAAATTACAGTATAATCTACTAGGTTTAGTTCATACAAGAAAAGTGTTTAGAATGTAAAATAGGAACACGTTTTCATGTAACTGATTTCAGTAATTCTAAAGTTGGAAAAAAGAGAATGATGCATTTCCGCAGAGAAATTTTTATGATTTTGCATTTGGGGAGGCTTCTATATATCTACTGGATGTTTTGTTGCTTTTTTTTATAAGTGATTTCAAGTAATATAAGCGATACCAATTAAATTTTTAGTTACGTAATCGAGTTGGCAACAATTAATTCATTGTTGCCAACCATGAGCACATTCAGCGCCTGGCTGACTAAGTGTAATTTAAATTTCGCGCTGAGTATTCAGGTGGTCAGCTCTGCTGTAAAAACTGTCAAGTTGCCACATTTATTTATTTATTTCCTGACATTGTCATTCGTTTTGACACTTTATAGTTTTGTATTACGAGTTTTTGGTTTAAATTAATTGTGTTGTGATACTTTAAGCTTAAAGATTTATACTATCAGACCTTGCAGTAGAACATTGTTCTTTTTAGAACCCTTTTTAGTGCAAAATGTACAAGGTAGCTTAATAGCCGTTGCAAAAAACTCGTCGCAACCTTATTAGAATCTTTGAACGGGAAAGCGGTAGTAATGGCCCTAAGATAATTTATATCCCTTAAGTGCTGTTAAGGAGATGAGTTTTATTTGATGTAAATGGTAACTGTTTATATATTTATAATTAATTAACTTTTGTTTCCTGAAATATTTTGATTAAAAGAAAATATGTAAAAGTGTGCAACGGTGTGCCGGTCAAGCTTAATCACGTGACTAAAAGTTTATTTATAGTTATTTCGGATTATTTAGTTCGTAAGCTAAAATCACACAGATAACAATAAATAATACACCAAAACCAACATAGTCATAACCAAAGTCTTATAAATGAAATTCAGATTGATTCAAAAAACGAAAAATAAATTTGAAACTAAAATTTGGAGAAATTTTAGCCAGACCCCCGGCAGGTTACCTTTAAAACAAACTTACTATTTTGCTGAGTGACGCATAAGATAAAAAGACAGATTTTACTACCTATTTTAACATTTTTTTGCTCCAACCTAAATCAAAACATAGCTACGCCCATGATTGTGTCAATGTCACAGCCACCTAGATTAGGTTAGGCACCCTTAATAGTACTTTGAAGGGACAGGAATTCTCCATTGAATATCGGAATAATATACTGGGTGCTCTATTTGGAATAAAAAAAAACTTTTTTTGAAAGTAAGCATTTTTTGCTCGTTCTTTCTGTGTAAGGATCTCAGTGGTGGCGACACTAACAGAACGCTATAGGAATACTTAATATACAATTAAATACAATTAACACAAGTTACAAACTAGGTATCAATACTTTGAATTAAATTTAAGAGCTAAAAGAACTAAGAACATGTCTTGTATTAAATTTGCTAATAATTAATTAAAATAATTTTGTTAAATTATATTATTAGACTGCATATTTCTAATCTCTATGAGATAACATAAAGAAATGCGATAAGCCAAATAAATATCACTATTATTTATTTCTATTAATAAATATGTATACTAATAGAGAAAAATAACTCATTATTTATTGATTACAGATCTTACTAATTTACTTAAAATAATAAAATTATTATCTATCAATTCATTTGAAATAATTTATTTAATTCTGCATAGCCCAATTTCAAACAATTCCAATTCTTTTTTTTTTAATTCCGAACTTTCAATTTTTTTTTCGCGAAAAAAAACTCATAGACGTGTTTGTGGGGTCGAAATATACTCCTTCTAAAAATATTTGAACGTATTTAAGACCCACCCTGTATATTTTAGAAAACAAATACATAACATAACATACACACATGGCCAAAATTATTGCATATATCGTTTAAAAATATACGGAAAGGAATTTAAAGAATCTTTTTTATACATAGCTTTGATAATCTGTATTAAACATTTTTTTGTTAAAATGGATATGGTAAACAATGTTTATCGTTCAGACTCAATATTATTACCAATTCTTGCACATATCGATTTGTGGTCTGTTGGGTTTCAGAAGAAATTTTACCACTGTTTGGGCCTTAAAATACCTAGAAACATTATTTTACAGTTTAATAGAGTCAGAAACAGAATAGTAACACTGTCTCAAAAGGGCTACCGGCAAGTTGCAATAGCTGACATTGTAGGAGTTAACTAAAGCGATGTTTCGCGAATATTAAA